GATCAGAAAACTGGCTGGCAGGAAGAAAAGTGGTCTCCAAGGGGAAGAACTGGTTTCCCACCCTTATACCATCTTCCAAACAAGGAAAACAAGGTCTGTACCAAAAATAAACCAAAAAGGATGCAAGACGAGAGATCGGGAGGCAAGGCGCACGGCCGGGAGCCTTGAAAACTGGTCTACGGGCATCAAAAGTGGTCTCCCAGACCACAGTGTCCCTCTAGGCAGAGGCAGCAAGGCATGGTTCAAAAACCAAGCCAAACAGAGAACGTTAAGTGGTCCCGAGACAAGGCGTGCGGCCGAAGGCTCCGAAAAACCGAAAACTAGTCTCTAAGCGAGAAAAGTGGCCTACGACCACGAAAAGTGGTCTACGACCACAAAGAGGTGGTCTACAGACCACTCCCTCCCTCTAGGGAAGAGAAACAAGGCTTGGTCCACAAACTGAGCCAAAGCACAAAGAGTTCAGGGGCCCGGAGGCAAGGCACTCAGCCGAAAACTCCGAAACCTCAGAACGAGCACAACATGCACAATCACCGAGCCCTCAATCGATGACGTCTGAGTCTTAAGGTCGGTCAAAAATAGGTGTCTACACACACAGAAAAAGGAATATAACAAATACAACATATCTTTAATCAATTATTTTATATTTTCTTTTATTCAAAATTTAAAAATAATGTACAGACAAAATTTATAACTAAATTATGGAAAATTTTATTCCTACCAACATTTTTTTACTTCTATATAAATAATTAAAAAGAAATAAACTTGAAAAAAGGTAGTCAATATAATATTATACATTAAGTAAAAAAATATGGTTAGCAATTATACTTACATAAATTTACTATAGTTTTAATTTCAATTTTTTTTTTAAAAAAAAAAAAAACTTTTTTAATAGCATTTTATTTAACCAGTACCAAATAGAATTTTCTTAGCAAAAAGGGAAGTTATAAAATTTTGTTGCAAAATTTTAAATGTCAATTGTTAAACATTCTATTATACTTGCTTGTTTGTTTGCTTGCTTGCTTTGAGAGTTTTGATCTTTGATCTTTGCTCCATACACTACGCCAAAACAGGGCATTAACGGCGGTTTTTTTAACGGCGGTAACGAAAACCGTCGCTAAAGGTACTATTAACGGCGGTAACGAAAACCGACGTTATAGGTATCATTAACGGCGGTTTTGTTACCGCCGTAAATAGGTTCAAACTTTTCAAAAAATAATTCTTTCTTCTTGCACTCCCCAAGTCTTGAACCCTCAACCTCTCATCCACCTATACTAACCACTCTACCATAGCCACTCTTCATGAATCTGGCGAAACCATCTACAATAAAGTAAAAGTAATGTTTAAATATTTATTTAGGGAATATATTTCATGAAGAGTGGCTATGGTAGAGTGGTTAGTATAGGTGGATGAGAGGTTGAGGGTTCAAGACTTGGGGAGTGCAAGAAGAAAGAATTATTTTTTGAAAAGTTTGAACCTATTTACGGCGGTAACAAAACCGCCGTTAATACCGCCGTTAAAGGCTTTAACGACGGTTTTACAGCCTTTAACGGCGGTAAAAAACCGCCGCTAAAGCCCAATTTTGGCGTAGTAATATTCATAGTATTGTTTTATTTATTTTTCTTCTGCTTGCTTGATTTTCACATGATAATTCTTTCATAGTGCATCTCCAAGTCTATTAGTGAAAACATCATACACTTAAAATGCACAAAATTACAATATATATATATATATATATATATTTATAAGTAAGTAATTGCCCAAAACTAAAATTATTTTAAGAAAAAATAAAAAATAAAAAATAATGAAATTGTTTGAGATACAAAATGATTTATTTATTTATTAATTAATTTTTAAAATAAACTTTTAAAGAAAACAAAGAAAACTATATAAAAAAAGTACAAAAACTAAACATAAAATATAATACAAAAAATAAATGAATAATAAGATTTTCAAAAAGTGAGACTCACACACAAATGTTGTAAAATCTTATCTATACATATAGTTTTTGTGTATGTTTTCTGTACTTATTATCGTAAGAATGACATTGAAATAATTTACACTTCTTGCATTAACTCCATCTAAGAGCTTTAGCAAGCACAGATGTAACACAAAACATAAACAATTGTGAGACAAAGCATCTTTAAAAAAAATGAAAGCAACATTCAATGATGATGTAAAAACACACCTGACATTTTAATTGGAGGTATAACCAGATAAATTGCCATAGAAAGAGGAAAACAATCTTTATTTTTCATCACAATAATTACATAAGTCAATATACAATTTTAATATCTCTCACCCTTCCACATATCCAATTCTCTATCAATATTAGAATGACTGCATGAACAAAAAAAAAATGGAACATTTGAGAAGACAAAGAGATGTGGTTTGAGATCTTTCAATTGCTGAATTCTATTAATTAATAGTTACTAGGCTTCAATGATTGGATTTCTAATATTTACTAGCCATTAAAGCTGGATTCTTTAATTTCATCTATATTTACTTGATAATTTGAGAGTAAACACGTGTCAAGTCTTTACACAAATACTTGGCACATTTTTTGAGCATTATTAATGAAATGCAGAGTGTAATTTTTTTCTCTTTTTTTTTTCTCAATTACAACCTGTTATTTTAACAAGAATTTATATTTGTTTTAGATATTTTCTTAATATACAAATTATTTTGCACAGTATAATTTTTTTCTCTTTTTTTCGCAATTGCAACATGTTATTTTTTTAATAAGAATTTATATTTATTTTAGATATTTTTTTAATATACAAATTATTTTTTACAATGTAATTTTTTTCTCTTTTTTTTTTTCATAATTGCAACCTATTATATTTTTAATAAGAATTTATACTTGTTTTAGATATTTTTTTAATATATAAATTATTTTTTTAGATTTTAATGAAATATACAGTGTAGTTTTTTTTTTTCTCTTTTTTTGTCGCAATTGCAACTTGTTGTTTTTTTAATAAAAATTTATATTTGTTTTAGATTTTTTTCAATATAGCAATTATTTTTTACAGTGTAATTTTTTTTATAACCTGTAATCAAAAAATTTAAAAATTAAGATTGAAATATTGAAGTTCCAACAAGGCTTGTGCGTTAAAAACCTCATTTTCCTTATATAATATATAGATATAGATATAGATAGATAGCGAAACAAACTTTTCTTTTTCTTCATCTCTTGATGTAGGATTATAAAATAAATTATAAACTAATTAGAGTTTTATTTTTATATAGTTAAATGGAAGTTAGTCAATGTAAATTTTTTTAATTGTTTAAAATTAATAAAATCAATATGGAAAAATCACGATTAAACCAGCGAATCGAACAAACCCAAAATGGTTCAGCCTAATCGGTTAAGTCAAATGACCAACCAACTTATATAAAAATTAATTAATTAAAACTTTTAAATGTTATTTTAATTTTAAAATTTAAACTGTCTTGAATTGAAGTATACACAATACTACACTATTAAGATTCACTTTATCTAAGTGAAACAGCTCACTTTTTTTTTTTTTTTCTTTTTTTGATGTGGGATTATAAAATAAACGTTAAGAATTATTTGGATGGAAAGTTTATTTCTAATCAAACAATCTTAGCCTTTTAATCTTTAATCAGATCAATCTTTAGCTTATTTCGAATCAAACAAATGTAATCAATACATTTTGATAAAAGCTCTAAAATAGCGGTGAAACCAACAAATCAATCAAATCAAAAATGATTTAGCCTAATCAACTAGGTCATAATTAATTAATTAAAAATTTTAAAATTTAAACTATATTAAATTGAAGCATGCACAGCAATACAATATTAAATGAGATGAGAGTATAAGATTCATTTTATATGAGTAAAACAACTTATTTTTTCCCCTTCTTTTCCCAATGTGGGATTATCAAATAAAGGCTAACTAATGGAGATTTTCTTAATTGTTTAAAATTAAGAAAATCAAGAAAATTAGTATGAGATGTTAAAGCTCTCACAAGGTTCCTCACTAAATGTAAATGGCATGAGAGTATAAGATTTTCTTTATATGAGTAAAACAATTTTTTTTTTCTTCTTGATGTGAGATTATCAAATAAAAGCAAGCAAATGGAGATTTTCTTAATTATCTAAAATTAAGAAAATTAGTATAAAAAATTGAAACTCTTATAAGGCTACTCACTAAAAAGACCATTTTTCTTATATAATAGATATATGGGTATTATTTTAGATTTAAAATTTCATTTTTAAGATTCGTCAAACACTACAAGAATTTACACATTTGGCGACCACTTTTGCCGACCAAAAAAATTTTTGTCGCAAAAAAATGACATTTGGCGACCAAATATTAATTAGTCGCGAATGATCAATATTTTTGGCGACCAAATATGAGTTGGTCGCAGAAGGTCACATTTTGGCGACCAAAAATAAGTTAGTCGCAGAAATTGGTATGCTTTTGGCGACCAACTACAAATTTGGTCGCAGAAAGTTACATTTTGGCGACCAAAAAAAATTAGTCGCCAAATTAGTACTTTTAGCGACCAATATTTTAGTCGCCGTTGATTGAGATTTGGCGACTAAAAAAGTTTGTTGGCGAAGGTACCTTTTCTGCAACTAATATGGTGTTTTGGTCGCCAAAAGTTTGGGAGGGAAATTTGAAACATGGAGGGGGGAAATGAAATTTTTTGGCAACAACAAAAATTTGGTCGCCAATCAAAAAATGACGTCGTTTTGTACCTGGAAAATAGAAAAAAAAATTAAAAAAAGGCCCTGATCTCCTCTGTCTCCAACTCGCTCTCTGTGTATGTTCATCCGCTCTCTCCCTCTCTCTGTGTTCTCTCTCTCAATCGGTGCCCACTCTCTCGCTCACCGAAGTCCCTCACCACCGTTGCTCACGTCCGTCGCACATCGCCACCGCCGGAAATCGCCATCGCCCTCTGTCTAATGGACTCCTCATTTCTAGAAGATCCTCACCCAATCTCACCTCATCTCAGACCAACGTCGCACGCCACTCTCTCTCTCTCTCTCTATTCGGTCTCTTCTATGTGTCTCTGTCTTCTTGTCTCCCTCTGTGATTTGGGTTCAGGTGAGTGTTTGTCGCCTCTAAATCTGCAGAGGCAGAATGGTATCTGCAGAGGCAGCTCTTTGGCCCCTAAATCTCGCAAGGGCTTTCCGTCTCCCATCTCTCTGACAAAGAAAAACGAGTTGGTTGTGCAGACCCCCTTCGATCCTGGTACTCTCTCTCTATAATCTATCTATCTGTATATGTGATTGATTAGATCATATCTCTGTGTGAGTTAAATTACTCTTCCTCTGCCCTTTGTGTGTTGTGTTCATGTAATTCAGATTTAAAATCAAATTTGAAGAACTCTAATGGAAATTGTGTGTAGTGGGTATTTTGATTTGAAGCAATAGAACTCCAATTGAGTTACAAATTGAAAAGAATTCGATGGAAATTTGATATTCCCATAACTAAATTAACTAGGATGGGGCTCTTCCAAAAAAATTATCAATATAGTCTTTAGCATTTTCATTTTCTGAGGCATCCAACCACAAAAATCCCCTATTTGGGGAGCTACAGCCTATATGGATCTGTTTAAATCAATTTATTCGATACTTCTCTGATGGCCAATGGTTTCTGATATATTTCTTCTTCTGCTTTTTTTTAAAAAAAATTTAATGAGTATACTTTTGGGTTTTGGTAACTTGACTGTTTGTTTCCAGTTGGCTTTTTTTTTTTTTTTTGGAGTTTGTTTCCAGTTGTCATACTGATATATTTCCAGTTTGTTTTCAGTTGACTGATATATATCAAAGTGAGGGTTTCCTGATATATTTCCAATTTTGCATATAAAAAGTGAGGGTTCAATGTGAACTATGCAAAGACTTTGAAATGTAGCATTTTATGTGACTGCAGATTTTAATGCAACATGTTTAGATTTTCTGATCAACTGCAGTGCCAACGAAATTTTCTGGTCCAGTGAAATAGTAGAATCTGTGAGAGAAGAATCATTTGAGTTTTGTGACAAAGATAAAGATAGTGAAGAAAGGGATAGAGTCGAAATGCTCTTGTGGAGGCTAATCGGGTAAACTTTCTTTAGGTGTTTGGATAATAATCCATTGTTTGTCTTTTCTTTTTCTCTAGGACTTCTGTTCTTCTCAAGAACATGTCTTCTTACATTTTCTTTCGACAGTCTTGAGAAGGAAAAGAAAATAAAGTCCTCTTCTTTGCCTCAATTGAGTAGATGTGAAGTTGGTTTGAAATTTATAAAGGATTTGTTTTTCAATTTGGTTGGTGAAATGTGAATTTTCACTACAGAGAACTCTTTCTCCTTGGGTTTTAAGCGAAACCGATAAGAAGTAGATTGGATTTCAATATATGTGTATATATACACATACACATATTCTGAAAACGATACTTGGGAATATGTAGGTGATTGAATTAGACTTCCTAGAGCTAAAAAAAATTTGTAAAGCAACAAAAATGATTTTGACATAAGCTTAGATTACAGAGATTGCACAAAAGTTTTGTTTGGAATTAATGTTGCATGGCATTAATTAATGGTCAAGTAGTAGTAGTTAGGCTAAGTGATTTAATAGGAATCAGATGAGATATCTGGATCAAAATTTTTTTAAAAAAAGGAAAGAATCTAGTTAGAGGATGAAAACAAGTTGACTTAATCAAATTATTTATCCTAAACTGCAGATTAGGACAATATGGCTAGAAAGTGGGTCTTATCATCTAAATAATTTATTTATCTATTTATCACTAATCATTTCTATAGAACAGATGAAATGGAGTTTATTTGTTTTTTTGTTACAGAAAGTGTGATTTACTTTTTTTAGGAGAAATTACAATAAAAAAAAGGCAAGTTACTGAAAAGTGGGTGAATTTCCAGTTGACTAATATATTTCCAGTTTGTTTCCAGTTGTCATACTGAAATTCACATGACAGCTTATATTGGAGTTGCTCATTACTATTTTTACGTGCAAAATTGGGTGAATTTTATACCCATATTACAGTGTGGAACTTGTAATAATGGAGGTTGTAGGCAATCAGACTTTAGTGCTGATCTGTGAACGAATCTTTCAACTTCCTTTGTTGATTGCATATATTTTCTCTCTTTTATGATGAGTTCAACTTCATCCAAATACACATAGTTGCTCTCTCTCTCTCTCTCTCTCTCTCTCTCTCTCTCTCTCATAAAGAATTGAAGTTGTTACTAGAGGAAAAGAGCATAAAGAAGAAGACTTCTTAAAGGGTTGCCTGTTTTATTGATGGTGTGGGTTCAGATAGACATAACATAAGAAATCCCATTTTGTTTTAAGGTAAAAAAAAGATGGAAAAAGATATCAAATTTTATTACCATAGATAGATTATTGAATACTATGAATTTATTACGTTAAGTAATGAATAAACTTTGGGTATGTAGGAGCGCGAAAGCTCTGTCGCAAGAAGAAAAATTGAGAGTGGATTTATTATCTATTTATGTATGGAAAATATATTTTTTTAAGTTAAAATTCTTCCTAAAAATTCAAATAATAGTTTGTGCAAATATGTGCAATGATAATTTTTGTTGCTGATTAAAAAAAAAGAGTGCAATACAAATTATTCTTTGTCTATTGGTGAATTCAGTGATTTGCTTTATTGTCCAGTTTTTCTTCAACTTTACCATACTATCTAAGCTTGACAACACGTAAAAATTCACGTAAGATCTCTTAATGAACATGAATCCTAGTTTGGTTCCACCATACTATATAAGGAACTTCATATGTAACATAATTTGTTAGATATGGCTTTCTTTTAATCATTTGGATGTATCCATGTAGCACAGAAACATGTTGAAAGGGTATGATAAGGAACTTCTACTTTGAACATCACTAATAATATTTTAGTATAAAACATATCCTTACCCATCTTTGTTTTTTTTTATCTGACATAGAATTTCATACTATGAAGTGTTTATGTAACAGAGATTTACACCATATATCAACATGTTTTAATTATTTGGGTTATTTACATCATAATGATAATGATTTTAAGTTGTTTATTTTTTGTCTTAACTCTGCTAGACAGGCCTTATCCCAACTATTGTCCTTAATGAATTGCCAACTTTGTTCTTCAGGAAATGAAAGATTTGAAAGAATCAGTTTCGAAATCTTATCTGAATCAACTTGAAGAGTTGCAAAATTCATTGGAGATCAAACAGAAGGAGTTGGTAGAGGCTCAGAGAGTGTCAGCTGAGCAAAAGCACGATATGGTGGACCTTAATGAAAGACTTAGTGCATCACTGCAGTCATGCACTGAGGCAAATGAATTAATAAACAAATTAGTTGCATCTTCTTTTCCCTTAGGGATCAAATAATAGCCATTGGACACTTATGGCACGAATTTGATTCGTTTAATTTTTGTATACACTCAATTTCTTCCAGATTCTGTGAGATTTAGTCACATAGATGTATGCTTGTTTTAGTAGTTCTAGCTTTTGATCCTTACACTCATAATCTTCACTCATAGAACAAGAAGTTTATGGCATAGATCCTTACACTCATAATCTTCTACTCGATTCTGTGCTGGAGGGATCGGATTGGACGATTCTTGATAAGCATTTGTTTGTTGAAGATGTTCTCCTTCGCACTCTGAATAAGCAGGTGCAGCACTTCACAGGCACTGGAAACAGATTTATTTTCTTCTAACTGAATTCTGATGTGCACTAGGTGCTGAAAGAGGGGCATGGAATACTGGATCGACACCACTTGTTAGTAGAGTCTTGTGAATTAAATTTTGTATCTGAAGAAGATTATATTGACATGGGTAGGGCTGGTTTGGGAAGTTGTTTACTTGGGGGATTACCTGATTGGCTGATTGCTTACTCAGCTTGACTGGTATATATCTATGCTATACATAGCTTGGGTTTGTGGGTTTAACCTTTTAAAGATTCTGTTTGTCTGACGCATTCATCTTGTGTGAAGGTAAGGTTTATCAATTTTGAACGAACTAAGCTTCCTGAGGAGATTTGAAGCATAATTTGGAAGAGGAGGAAATACTTTGCAGATATCTCCATTGAAGTTGAGAAAAGTGATGCTGAGGTCCAGGTGAATGTTTTACTGACAGCAACCCCCCGTTCCTGAGCTTAGACTCAAGTATTGTACATGTGAGGGTATTCTTTCAATTACAATCTTTGATATTCCGTTTTCTTTTTGCATGAGACAGGCCGAGGGAGTCTACAACCAAAGGCTTCAGAATTTGGCTCTTACTCTTGACAAGGTGGCTGTCTCTTTTTTTTTTTTTTTTATTTACATCTCTCTTTCATAAGAAGGGAGCATCTATGTTGTTAATTTTTTTTTTTTTTTTTTCAATTTACATCTCTCTTTCATAAGAAGGGAGCATCTATGTTGTTAAATTTCGGACCCTAACTTTGACTACCTAAGCTTGTCATGAAGCTCCTTGATAATTTGCACCTATAATGCTCCCTTTGGAATGGACAACTGGTCCTTCATTATGTATGGCAGCTTCTTCCTTATGGTCCTTGTAATTTAACTATAACAGGGCTAAAATATAGATCTGTTGCATACTAATTTTTCAGCTCTTCAAAGCCTACCACTTGTGTACTCATCACAGTCAACCACAAAGATCACCTACTCAATGCATATACAACGTTATTCGACTCACCAAGAGGAGGCTACACTAATTCTGGTATAAATTAGTGTAAGAATTTGCACCAGGGGAACAACTACAACTTATTAGTGTAAGAATTTGCACCAGGGGAGATATGTGTTAGTCTTACCGAAGGGCAGTTTCAGCAGGTACAGATGGTGTTCGAATTGGACTGTAGTTCTATAAATAGGATGTATATAATGTACACTGTATTGATGAAACTTAATGTTTAATTTTGACGGGTTGAAATTCAAGGCATCAAGTAGATTCTTGGACTTCAGCATGGAAAACAGTATGACAGTGTGAAGACTTTGAGATATGGTCATTTGATGATCATGACTGATCAGGTTTAAAACATTTAACTTCTTCTTTTGTTTTTTCTTTTGGTTTTATCTATATGTTGATTCATTACTGATTTGTGTTTTGCATATCCTTCAAAATGCAATCATATAAGGCTGCATAACCAAGAGGTACACTCTCTTCCCTAAATTGCAGTGTTGAATCGATTCCAATCAACATCAAGCTATTACTTTAAATGTTTCAATAATGAAATTTTTAAATGTTTCAGTATCTGCAGAGGGCTCTAGCCAAGTTGAAAGATCACAACAACTATCAAGAAGGAGCAGCCAGGTAAAAAGATTCTTTGGTTCTCGAAAACCCATGTACCGCACACTGTTTGTTTCAATAAGTCTTTATCAATGCCTTTGGATTGAAGGCCTAATTTTAATAACATACAGTTTCTCCACATATATATATATATATATATATATATATTAAACTAGTTTTGTTGTTTTCCTTCCTGTCATATGAAGCAGGCCAGTAAATGCAGACTCCCAACTTGAGGTATTTCAGCATCTCTCATGCACAACACCACCATAAATTTCATCAGTTTATTTTTTTATTTTTTATTTTCATTTAAAAATAATAATAATCAGTTCTCGTGAATAACAGGAAATTCAACAAGAAATTCATAGAAGCAGGTCTCAGTTGGAGGAGATGGAGAAACGGTTAAAGTACCTTGCACTGCAAGAAAAGCCCAATAATATCCATCTATTTGAAAGTTCCAAAATTGAGTTGGCAATAATGAATTATATGTAAATCTAATTCCTTTTTTTTTTTCCCTAGGATTTTCCAAGAACATCCATCTGAAATTACGTTGATTCTGTTCTCTCTCTGTGTCTGTCTCTCTTTGTCCTTGACACGATTGTAAAGAAATAAAGTTGTGTTGTAATGTTTATGATTGAAGGGGAAATGTTCCGATCTTTTGCATTCCATGGCAACTGAGAGTGTGAAATGTTGTAATTTTGTCCCAAATTCCCAATAGCTTTGCTAATCAAAGCCCCAAAACTAGTAAGGGCACTTGTGCCCTAGTAAAATATACTTTTGCCAACTAAATAAAGTAGTCGGTGTATCACCAAGCACATTTAGCGACTAAATAATTAGTCGTTAAAATTATTAGTTTTGGCAACCAAAGGATTTGGTCGCGAATAGGTCTATTGCCGACTAAAGTTTTAGTTGCGCAAAACATCTTTGGTCGCGGAATGTGACAATTGGCGACTAAAATTTTTTGGTCGCGGAATGCACAATTGGCGACCAAAATTTTTGGTCGTGGAATGTCACAATTGGCGACCAAACTTTTTGGTCGTTGAATGTGATAATTGGCGACCAAACTTTTTGGTCGAAAATGTGTCAATTGGCGACTAAGATATTTGGTCGGGAAAATATCTCTTTTCGCGACCAAAGTGTTTTAGCGACTAAATAAATTAGTTGCGGTAATGATATATTTAGCGACCAAAAATTTAGTCGGCAAATCCGACTTTTCCCGACCAACCAAAATTTTGGTCGCGAATTACTTTTGTCGACCCTCAATTGGCGACCAAAGTAGCGACCAAAAAAATTGGTCGCGGATAACTTTTGCCGACCAAAAATGGGCTTTTAGCGACCAATTTTTTGGTCGGCAAAAGTGTTAATTCTTGTAGTGAAATAAGGAAATTGACTCTGTAGTTCATGGGAGATTCTATTTAACTCCCAAAAAATCATTAAGTACTCCCTATTTCTAAGTACACGCTTTTGAATTATTTAAAATTTTATAGTACTCTGAGTACACTCTATAATTTTTCCTAAGTTACCCTTAATAAACCCAAATAATAAATAATAATCAAATTTTAAATTAAACAAAAAGTATTTGAAAAATCCCTTTTTGTTTTCCAGTAACTTCACAGTTCATTCATGATAATCTAATCACAATTGTCAATTCATAAAATATTTTAATCTGTTAATATTTGGGCTCAACAATATTGCAAAGCTTTGGTGAATAGAAAACATGGCCATAGAATAAAATAATTAAGGAATACACAAGAAGAAAATAATAGAAACAATAAAAGTTTTTTTTTTTTTTTTAGAACGAACATAAAGTTCAACAAAAAGAAAGAGTAAATGGATAGAAGAAAAAAAAAAAAAAATCTTACTAAAAGGTGCCGCAGGATATAGCTCTTTTTTTTCTTTTTTTTCTTTTTTTTTTTTTTTTTTTTTTTTTTTTTTTTTTTTTTTTTTGTGAAGGATACTAACATGGTTGTTGAGTTCAAAGATTATCTCAAAGAATTTTTTATTAAAAGCTGTAATGCTATTTATATGATTGTGAAAATTGAAAGATTTAATATCGTAATAAGACATGTGAAAAAATACAAAAATTAATAATTATATTTTGATTTGTATATGAATGCTTACCTCCTCTTTGATGGGTTGCTTCAAAAAATTATCTTGATTATCACTTTCATTTATTGTTTGATTGTTTAAACTTTCTTCTATGGTTTAGAGTTTCAAAATAATAATAAAAAAAAACTATGATATTAATGATAATGGTAAGTTTTGATAGGATGGATTGGAGTTTCGGAGTGAGAAAAAAGAAAAAAAAAAGACGGCAAAATAACTTTGATCTCTTGGAAAAGAAGATGTAAAGATTTGAATAGGAATAATGGAATAGAGTGTACCATAAGAAAAAAAAAAGGATTTAATATGTGTTGTCCTTATTAGTAAATTCACATTAAAATATAATAGGAATTAAAATTTATAAATTTAAATTGGACGTACTGAGATATTTTTTAAGTTCAAACAGAATGCCCCATAGTTTATTTTGAGATTGATCCATGGGTATCACTGATGAATGCAAATCCAACAACAAAAAATAATTTTAGGATAAACTGGGAAATGATTAGGTAGCGTTTGGTAACATTTATGTTTTTGATTTATGTTTACAAAAATTTTATAAGTTGGTTTTTGTTTATTTTTAGAAAAACATAAACTACAAACACGTTTGGTTTGAACAAAATATTTGAAAAATTAAAAAAACATAAACTAAAAAATATATTTGTTCAGGCCTAAAATATTTATATTTATTTTTTATTATTTATGACAATGAGATCATACACATTATAATTGAAAAAAAAATATTTGAAAAAAATATTATTTGAAAAAAAAAAATTCATTGAAAAAAAAATTCATTGAAAAAAAAAATTATTTAAAAAAATTAATTGAATTTTTTTTTTGTCAGTCAATTTTTTAAATTTCTGTTTAAAAACCTTTTCTCAAATTTATAAACTGAGACAACCATTTATAAATCAAAAAAATTATTAAACAAGTTTTTATGAAATTGTTTTTAATTTTTATAAATATAAACTGAAAACTGAAAATAAAAAGTTACTAAACAAACGTTAGGGTTGACGTCATCTAATGGTTATTTATAAGGATCATGTCAAGGAACCAGTATAGCATTGTTGTAAATTAAGCGGACAGATTCAAACAATTCTTCAATGGTGAGGTATAAGGAATTGTTTTTCAGTCTATATGGTTATAATTTACAAATATAAAATATTATATCAATTTGAAATCTAGACAATAAATAGTTTTATAATGAAAAGAAATAAATGACACAATACAATTTCTTTAATAAGAAATAAATAATCAATGCTCCAGTTGGTTGAAGTAAAAGGGTTACTATTGCTAAAAAAATTTATTAAGTACAGAATTTTCCTTTTCAATGACTAGTTAAAAGGCTTGTTATATTTTGGCAGTGTTATATACCTTATATTAAATTTGGCACAACCTCAATAAAGTTATCTAGAAATACTATTCACTTCCTAATTGTATTTCAAAAGAGAAATGATATAAAAATTCAGTTTCTAAATTTAATGATGATTAAACAATATGATTAGTTAATGATTAGAGAAGATATAAGAGAGAGTGTTGCATTAGATACCCTAATTGATTGCCACATAATTGGCTTTGAAAGATGAATTTAATTTTTAAACTTATATAGCAATGTGTATTTCAAAACAGTTCATCTTCCCTCAACAAAAATTTCAAAAATCAACAATATATATGGGTAATTATTCAGTAATCTCAAAGTATGGACACGTGATATTCTATAGTATTATGATTGGTGGAGCATGTGGGTAGGTGGGGTATTGTGTTGAGTGATTAGGGAACATGAGAGGCATATTGAATGATACTTGGTTAGTAAGTACAGACACGTGATACTCCGAAAATATTGAATAATTTTCCAATATATATATTCCAAAACAATTCTAGAAATCAACAAATAACTCAACTAATTCCAAAAAAAAAAAAATAGCAAAAATCAACAAATTTCATAGCCATCAAAAAAATCTATAGCACTTCCATAAAAACAAAAAATTAAAAAATGAAGGATCAAGCACAAATTTTGACACGATCTAACAATTCAAATTATTATGTTCCCCTTCCTCCTGCTCCATGCTTATGCCTTATGTTGTTGTAATTTTCCGTATGTAAATTTAAATTAAGTTAATAAAATTTAATTAGATAGTATATATTATGTTATTTTCGAATGAGATAATAAATAGAGAGAAAGTTTGTTGTGTCGCCATTGGCTAACATTGTTGCAATGTAACATTTTGACACCATTCATTACTAACTAATAACTAATCATTTAATTATTGAAGTATGGTTGTATATATATATATATATATATATTAAACCATGAAAGATGCTTATTCATGGTAAAACTCACTCT